TCCAGCCTGGGCAGAGCGGTGTGAGTGTGAGGAGCTCACGCGGGTGCGCGCCCAGTCCAGCCTGGGCAGAGCGATCGGGGCGGCCATCTCTCTTCTGTTAACCACCCGGAGTGCGCCACGCTGACCCCGTGGCTTTGTCTGTGCGGGAGACCGAGCGCGTCGTCCCGTGGGCGAGTGCTGAGGCGTTGCAGCCCGGGGACGGGGCCCTGCCGGGGGTGGGCCGCAGCTCCTGGCCAGGGCGTGCGGCGTTGCGTGGCAGCTCAGGGGAAGGTGGTTTGAATGCAGCCTCCTGCTGTAGGTCAGAGCCCCAGACAGCGGCGTGTTCACCACAGCAGGGTCTGGCTCTTATGTCAGAGTGGTAACCTGAGAAAATACCAGTGATCTTGTCAGGAAAATGACAGCCTTCACTTTCACGATCTCCGTGTCCCTGGGTGGAAAACAGTAACTGGGAAGCAATTCCTCAGTAGTAGTCCGAGCGGGGCTATGGTGCTTGTTTATTAGGTCTGGAGCAAGCCTAGAAAGGAGCAGAAGGTCTCCCCTCACTTCCGACCCGTTGTATAAATGGTTCTGACACGATGATGCCGGGAGTGAGCCGCAGAGCCCTCTCCGACGTCCGTTCACCCCCGACAGCCATGGGAGGCGGTGGGGGCTGCCACCCAACCCCGCAGCCGTGCAGCGCTCCCTCCCACCCCTGCAGGCCGAGGTCCTGCCCTACGACGAGAGGCCTCTGCCCACCGCCCACAAGCAGCCAGGGGATGCGCTGCTGGAGCCGGAAGTGGGCGAGGCTGACGCCAGCGACACCCGGAGAGGAGGCCTTGCCGGGGAGCCGGAGCCCCTGACAGAGAAGGCCCTGCGAGAAGCCAGCACCGCCATCGACGCGCTAGGAGAGAGCTTGGTGAGAACCCAGAGCTCTGTGCATGCACATGCACATGCACGCACACGGAAAGAGGGACCACCCGAGCCTTGGCTGTTTGGACCACCAGTGATTCCCCTTCAGGAAGCGCTGGGTTATCATTAGTTGCCTTATCTGTGAAAACATGAGGTGAGGTCACATTTTAAGAGCACAGATCCATTCGAGACTGGGAGTGTCTTCCTGGTCTTCCCAGAGCGCAGACTGATGCGCCTTCGTGGAACACCAGCTAGTTCCAGGAAAGTGACAGTGTAGTGGGAGAGGACACGTCCCCTCGCAGGAGCGAGCAAGGCAGCCCTTGGCCTCAGCCTCAGTGTCCTGAGGTGGAGCTTTCAGTCCTTTTCTGCCTTACCACCGTCTGACGTTTCCCCTCACAGCGTTGTATCTGTAAGTCTGCACATGTACCCTGCAGAGCCCTGTAACTAAGTACCAAACAGGCCTGGTGGTGCACGCATGTAGACCTACCTCCGAATTGCCCAGCCTGGGCGGCAGTGCTGCCTCCTGAACCAGGGCCACCTCGTGTTTTGGACAGGTCGCCGGGGCCTACTCCAAGACTTGGTCCTGCCGCGAGGACGCGCTGCTCGCTCTGTACAAAAAGCTAATGGAGATGCCCGCTGGGACCCCAAAGGAGGATGCAAAGAACACGCTGCGTGCGGCTGTCTTCCTCATCCGCCGAGCCATCAAGGACATAGTGACCTCGGTGAGTCCCCGCCGGCTAGTCCAGGCACTGCCGCCCCACAGGAGCCCAGGGCCCGACAAGGGACGGCCCACTGCTCCGGGAAGAGCCAGGATGGGTGCTGCAAAATGCGGAGTGGGAGCTGCCGGTGCTTGTTCTCTTCCACCACCAGTTGTCCCCGTGCCCCGCCAGGGATGTGCAGAGGGCTCATTCTGCTGCCATGGCACGCACTCGCGAGCAGGTGCTCCTGAGGAGCCTGAGCGGTGGCCGCAGCTTCCCGAGTCAGCCTCGGCCCGGCTGCGCCAGGGCAGCCGGGACCGCGCTGTGCTCCTCCCCAGCAAGGGATCACAGTTTTCAACCTGTTTTCAGCCCATCCGACAAGTTGTCATTTTGAACACGATGTTCGTATTTATTACCAGCAGTGAATTTCACACACGCCCTTGGTGAAGTCCCTTTTTCATAGCTCATCTGTTTTTACCCCCTCTCCCAGGTCTTCCAGGCCTCTCTGAAGCTGCTGAAAGTGCTCGTCACCCAGTACATACCCAAGCACAAGCTGGGCAAACTGGAAACTTCACACTGCGTGGAGAGGACCCTTCCTGCGCTGCTCGCCAGAACCGGGGACTCCTCCGCCCGCCTGCGCATCACAGCCTCCAACTTCATTCAGGTCTGCACCTCCCTGTGAGCCCAAAGCCGCAGCTGACGCAGCTCCTCACGGGGGCTGCGGGCCGGGCCGCTCGCCTCCCCTCTGCCAAAGTGCACGGTTCTGCCACTGCTTCTCGTATCCTGCATATGCTGTTAGTAAAAACCCGTGGGAAAGTGTATCACAAGAGAAAGCTTGGGCTGAAGAAAAGATAGCAACTGCTCTGGTCTGAATGTGTTCCTTCCTTCACGAAATGTGCCTGGCCTAGGCTGGGAAAACCGAGCAAGGTGCGGATCGATGGAAGCTTCCTTGCACAGTCCCACGAGAATTAATTTTGTTCTCTCGAAATTGGCTAATAAATTCATCTAGTTTAGGAGTTTTTGTTTTGTTTGTGAGGCTGGGGATTAAAGCCACACCTTGCACATAGTAGGCAAGTGCTCAGCTACTGAGCTACATCCCCAGCCCTTTCTATTTTGAGATTAGCTCTTGCTAAGTTTCCCAGGCTGGTCTCGAAATTGTAATCCTCCTGCCTCAGCCTCTCAAGTAGCTGGAACAACAGGCATGGCTGCTAGGTTCAGTACTATAGTTCTTTTTTTTTCTTCTTTTTTTTTGAGACAGGGTCTCACTATGCCATTCAGGCTGGCCATGAACTCACTTTATAGTCCATGCTGGCCTCGAACTTGCAACAATCCTTCTGCCTCAGCCTACTGAGTGCTGAGATTACAGGCATGCGCCACCACACCCAGCGAGGTTCAGTCGTCCCTAAGGTTCCACACTTTGACCTCCAAAAACCCATAGCCTCCTTAAGTGTCATGCAAAATTTTGTGAGGGTGCATATGTATCTTTGGAAGGAATGCAGCTCTTCCGTTGTTTCTTGAAGGATTATGGCTGCAAACCCAGAAGGACCTGTGTAGTTTTAAGACGCTTAAATGTTCTGGATAAAAGAATAGGGAAAAATAGGAAACACTAATGTGAAAGAAAGAACAAGATGTCCCCCATGCATCGCCGTCCTCTGCTTGGCAGTACAGCTGGGCGTTTGGGGAGGATGTTGTCTTCCAAAAGACGTGGTATTTCTTGCACTTCAGGTCTTCCTTTAAATAGAAATATGAGCTGAGTTGAGGGGGGGGACTCGCCTATAATCCCTACACTCAGGAGGCTGAGGCAGGAGGATCATGAGGAGTTCAAGGCCATCGTGGGCCACATAGTAAGTTCAAGTCCAACATGCAGTACACAGTCTCATAAAAACCAGGTGGTGGGATATGTTTTTAGGCACCTATAATTTTCCTGCAATTTGTCACTGTCGTTACTTACTCAGTGTTTTCTTTGAAATTCTGCTGAGTCAGACCCAATCACCTCTAGCATTTTCCAGTGAAAACTAACAGGCCGTGTTGCTTGTGTAGGAAATGGCGCTGTGTAAGGAGGTCCGCGCGCTGCAGGTGATCCCGTCCTACTTGGTGCAGCCGCTGAAACCTAACTGCTCGGCGCACCTGGCCATGAGTCAGGTGGATCTCCTGGCCCGGCTGCTGCGAGACCTGGGCACCGCGGGCTCAGGCTTCACCGTGGACAGCGTGATGAAGGTAAGTGGCCCGTGTGACACAGGCGGCGCCCAGAGTGCAGAGCGTGTCGCCTTGGTGTTTGATGAATGGACTATTTTTGCATTGTTTTATATTGTTTTGTCTTTTTGAGACAGGGTCTCGTCATGCAGTTCAGGCTGGCCTTGAACTCACTTTGTAGCCCAGGCTGACCTCGAATTCACAATGATGCTCCTGCCTCAGCCTCTCGAGTGCTGGGATTACAGGCGTGCGCCACCACACCAGCCTTGCATGGACTGTTTAAGAGATATCAAGCTGGGTGTGGTGGCACACATGCACTTGGGAGGCTGAGGCAGGATTGCCGTGAGTTTGAGGCCAGCCTAAGCTATACAGTGAGTCCAGGCCAGCCTAAGCTACCAAAAAACAAAAAGACAAAGAGCAGTCATCCTGGCTCAGTCGAACACGGGGCGCCACAGCCTGTCTGCTGCAGTTTGTGATCTGTCCACACTGCGGTCCGTCAAGGCCCGGACGCATCCCGCGCCTGTGAGTGACCATGGCTACAGGAGGTGGAGGGCAGCACCCGCCCCCGCCCCGTCCCTGCCTGATCATTACTGGAGACTCCTCCACGGACTCCACTGACGCCTGCACTCACCTCACCCCAGAGTCCCTGCATTCTCCTGGCACAGACGGCCACTTTGCCAGGCGCTGCAGTGTCCCCGTCTCCCCTGCCTCGCGGGCAGCAGCAGCCCGGTTCCACCCCTGTGCTGGTGCCCACTGCCCGGTGTCCACCTCAGCTGCTGGGGGCACTGCTGCCCGGCTCGGCTGGCTGCGCACTCGGTGTGGGCCAAGGCAGTTTTCGAGGGGGACACTTCGTCCCCCTAGGTCATTTGGGGCTCTGTCCTTCAAGTCCAGTGCCACTCTAAGGCCACTGAGGCAAGGACAGGAGAGCACTGTGCACGGGAGGCTAGAGCTGCCGAGTCCCTCCCACCCACTCGCCCGTCCAGGGGACGGGGCGGTGCAGCTGGGCGTGTGCGCGGGCAGACAGCAAAGCAGACGGACACGCGGCAGAGGCCACTGTGTGTGGCAGCCACAGCAGGCACGTCTGGGTCTCCGCCCGTGGCTTCAGCGCTGGTGGTTTTGTCTTATTTATCAAACGCTTGTGATGTGCCCGTGCTTCCCCCAGCGGGAGAACTTTGCTCGGTTCCCCTGAGACCTGGTAACAAGCCTCCCGACTGTGTCCTCAGTTCGCGGTGAGTGCCCTGGAACACCGGGTGTACGAGGTCCGGGAGACGGCGGTCAGGGTCATCCTGGACATGTACGCGGAGCACCAGGCGCTTGTCCTGGAGTACCTTCCCCCAGACAACAGCAGCCTGCGCAGGAACCTCCTCTACAAGAGCATCTTCGAGGGCTTCGCCAGGATCGACGGCAGGCCCACCCACGCCGAGCTTAGGGTAAGCGCCGTAGGACCCAGGACTTCGGCCTGGGCTGAGGAAGGCCCTTGGCACACGAGTAAATAACAGGCACAGGAGGAGCCCTGCGCCCGGGAGACCCCGCAGAGCCCGAGTTCCCATTCCGGCCCTGTCACCTGCGGCCCAATCTGCGACAGCACCAACCGCAGCTTCTCCTGTCAGTAAACGTATTAGACTCAGCTGAAGGGTGTGCATTTAGTCCTAGGTGCACTTGGCTCAGTGAACAGGACGGCGTGTAAGAGAGAGCTGTTCGTGGCATGTGAGACGTCATCTCCCCTCGTCAGTGGCCCCTCGTGTGACTCTAATGGCAAAATGACTTATTTACCAGGCACAGAAAAGAGCAGCTACAGAAGAAGCAGAAAAACAGAAGAAAGAAGAAGTCAAAGCCTTGCAAGGGCAGCTGGCAGCTCTGAAAGGAACCCAGGCCGAGGCTGAGGTGGGGGTGCCCGCGCGGGCTTGGGCGGTGACTTCCCCAAAACTGACTGCTACACAGATATGCAGCGCTGCCCTCCCGGGGTCCGGGTCGTGTGGCAGCACCTTTATCCTCCATGGCCTTTCAAGTGGGGGCATAAAAGGCCCCCCCAGCCCCTCTGCTGGTGTGGGTTGCTGGGAGCTGGAGGAGGGGCAGCTGCTCCCTGCTGTCCCTGCACCCTGCGGGGACAGGAGGACAGTGTGTCCGCTGTGGGGGGCACCACGCCCTGCGTCCTCTGTGTTCCGCCGCCTGCTGCGCTCACCCTCACCACTGGCCCCACGGGGGTGACCGTAGCGGCATCCCCACTAGAGGGCGAGTGTGAGCGTCACTGGGAGAACAGGAGGACCCCCGGAAGGAGCCTGCACTGCCCGGCTGGGGTTGCCGCCCCTCCTGCCCGCTCCTCCCGGCACAAGTGCCAGGCTCAGCCTGATGCTGATGGGTCAACGTGAAGACGCGAGGGCTGCGGCCCAGTGGGGCTCACACAGGTCACACGCCAGCGAGTGGCTATCACTGCCCCCTCACACATGCTCCCACGCAGATCCCACTGCAGGGACACCAGCTGCTGTCACCAGGACCGTGCCAGAGCCCTGTGCTGCCGGGGTCTGGGTGGTGGCCCTGGCGCAGCTGGTGTCTGAGGCGCTGTGGATCTGAGCCCAGAGGGGCTGGGAGAGAGCGAGAGCAGCAGGCGTTCAGCTGCTGTGACCAGAAACCCGGGAGGGAACGTGGAGATGCTTCCAGGGCCAGGCGCAGGGCAGGCGGTGGCTCGCGGCCCACAGCCCTGTCCCTGAGCTGCCCGTATCTGTCTTAGGGAAAGGAGAGCGCCGCTGAGAAGCCCAGGAACCAGGGTAGGTGCCCTGAGCCCCTGAGCTCCCGCCTGCTGTGTACAGTGCTGCCAACCCCTTACTAAAAATGTAAGCGCTTCTACGAGGAGTTACTGAACTGTCCTCGCTCCGTCTCTGCAGACAGCCCGGGCAGGATGGCAGCACCACTCGACGTCCCGGTCAGCCACTACCTGGACAAGTGAGTTGGGCCAGGCCCCTGCCCTGAGGGGGGAGCCACTGAGGGACTCTGGGTAGCTGTGTGTCCCCGCTTCCTAATGACCAGTGACGGACGGGCCCTCCCACAATCTCAGACCTGGAACACGCCCAGGCTGAGGATCCTGCTCTGTAGGGCAAGTGCAGTCAGAGCCCCGGGAGCAGACTGTGCCTCCCTGGCCAGGTGCCTGCGGGAGCGGGAGGGAAACATCCCCACTCCCCCGGCCCCTGAACTGTGCCGTGCGCTTGGTGGCACTGGCACATTCTGCCTCCAGAGGGCTGGGCCGGCCCTGCCTCACTGCTAGCTGAAGACTTTTTCCAGCTCTGATGGCTCAGGACCCCGCCACCCTCAGCCGAGCGGCTCAGGTCTCAGGCCAGGAGGGAGAGCCCAGGCCACAGGGCTGGGCACCAAGTCACCGCTGCTCTGGCTTCTCCCGCAGCCTGTGCATCTTCTGCGGGGAGCGCAGCGAGGCCTTCACGGAGGAGGGCCTGGACCTGCACTACTGGAAGCACTGCCTCATGCTGACGCGCTGCGGCCACTGCAGGCAGGTCAGCGCCGGCACAGGGCCCAGGCCAGGAGGGTCAGCGCCGCCGCGGTGCCCTGACCTGGAGAGCCCAGCGGCCAAGAGCCGCATTGCGGGGACCCCCAGGCCTTGTAGCTGCAGAAGAAGCATTCTGAGAAAAGTCACTGGGGCACATAGAGGACGGTCATCAGACTCCCCCACTGGTCACCGCCGCCCGGCAGGTCTCCCAGAGCCGTGCTCTCCTGATGTCTGACACCACACTGCGGTCTAGGGCTCCGGGGCCCTGCATGAGTGGCCACACGCCGTGCGTGGTCCCTTTGAGACCCTGGGTTTCTGCCCATCCGAGCGGTGTCTGAGGAGTCAAGCATCACTCTGTGTGTGACTGTCGGTGGCTGCGCTTGCGTCCGCTTGGGACGGCCGTGCACACGTCCCAGGAGCACTGGAGCCTGCGTAGCGTGGGCTCACTATCTGTGCCATTGCCTGGTGCCGAGCTGGGGCAGAGGCTGCCGTTGTGTGACTACACCAGCTGACACCAGGGGCCACATCCTCAGCCGAGCCCTGCCGGCTATGGAGCCTGTCCCTCTGCCTGTCAGACACGGTGTCCTGCTGTAAACCACCCCACGCTGTGCCCATCACACTGACAGTACAGTCTGTCCCTGACTTGTCATCGCCCCGCATGTATGCACGGGAGCCCATGCAGTTAGCGAGCAGGGACCCCGTCCTGCGTCTCTCTTGGCAGGCTGTCCCTGGTCTTCTAAGGAGTGAGTCTCTAATGTAGGTCGTCCATCACTCTGCCGGTGTCTCAGGCTTTACACCCTGTGTCCTGCTTCTCAGATCTTCCGTGCCCTGAGCTTTTACCCTCCCACCATGCACTGGGCTTTCCTGTTCAGAGGATGGAAGCTGATGTGGAACAGACTCGCGTCCTTTCCAGGGCTCTTCAGGGCCGGCAGGGAGACACCAGAGCAGACAGAGCCCCCCGCATGTCACCCCTGCCTGGATATGAAAGGGCCAGGAGCGTTCTTTCCACACACACTCGTAGAAGGCCAGGGGAGCCTAAGTTGGACCCCGGGGCTGCACATTGAATCCCCGAGCCACTCGTGGCCACTAAGATTACATCGGTCACATCTGAGTCACCTGCAGTTCTGCCCGTCTCTGCCTCTTAACATGGCCTTCGTGTGGTGGGGAGTGCAAGGAGTTGACCGCAGACACCAGGAGGGGCCCTGAGGACAAGCGGTCGCATGGCCGGGTGGGCACATAAAGGACGCTGTGTGTGCTCACGCCGTGCCGTCTCTCGGGCCCAGGTGGTGGAGATCGCCAGCCTGACGGAGCACCTGCTGACCGAGTGCGACAGCAAGGACGCCTTCGGGAAGTGCTACCGCTGCAGCGAGGCCATTCCCAAGGAGGAGCTGCCCCGGCACATAAAAGCAAAGGCGTGCAACCGTGAGTGCTGGCCCGGCCCTGCCCACCCTCGCCCACAGGCATCCCCGGGGCAGGTGCTGCTGCAGCCTGCGCAAGGGCCCGGTGTGTCAGTGGGCGGCCCAAGGGCAGCGCATGTGCCCCGTCCCTCCTTCACGCTCACATGTACATGGCTAACAGGATCCTTTTCACCGCCATTTCAGCTGCCAAATCTGAGAAGCTGGCAAACCGGTGTCCTTTGTGCCACGAGAATTTCACTCCTGGAGAAGAGGTGAGGGCCTGGCCCAGTGAGGAGCAGTCTGGAAGCGGGGGGCTAGAGGAGGGACACCCTTGGGGGACAGTGGTGACTGTCCGAAGCACACCAGGACCAGAATGTCCCGCACTGGCCCTGTCTGAGCGGTCAGGCGCTCACCGATTCTGCAGAATAAGGCAAATCCAAGGGCCCCAGTAGGAGCTGTGGCCGCCGTATGGTCTCCTTCTGACTCCTGAGGCCTGCTGGGGCATGGAATGAGGCTGCCAGGTCTTAGCACTCGGGTGCTCGCCAAGGTAGCCCCGCGGTCTTCCGCGGTCGTGGAAGGCACTGCTGGGGCCCAGCCAGGCCAAGAGCCCCCTCCCGCAGCCTGAGGTGCTCTGGGCTAGCACAGTGACTGACGCCGCCTCCGCCTGCAGGCATGGAAGGCACACCTGATGGGCTCCGCTGGCTGCACCATGAACCTGCGCAAGACACACGTCCTGCCCAAGGCCCAGGCACCGCTGCAGGGTGAGCACTGCCCACGGCCCCGGGTCCCCAGTGTCCTCGCACCTCACAGCCTGGCTCCCTACTGCGGCTGCTCTCGGAGGGGTCAGTGCCCCAGCACCCAAGGGCAGGGCGTAGGCCCTTGGCACCTTCTGCAGGGCGGACCCAGGGGTTGAGAAATGTGAGGTTAAATAGACCCATGGGTAAAGCCTCTGCCCAGTTCATGAATTGCCAGTTTAGCTACTTCCTGTCAGGGTTACGCTGCCCTAGGAGACGTCTTTCTGATCATCAGAAAATTATTCCAGGTCACAGCAGGGCAGTGAGAGCAGGGCTCCATCTGCAGCAGGCCCCGTGTCGCGTGGCAGACATCATCCTTGGCCCTCTTACAAATGCAGGACAGCGGCCCTCAGCCACACGGGAGACCATACTCCTCCTCACCTGGCACTCTGCCCTGGTGCGGAGCGGCCTGAGTGACGGCGGAGCAGTGCCCTGCTTCTCTCCCCTGCTCGTCCTCTCCCTCCACCCCTCCTGCTGCCACATGGCTGCTGCGTGAGCAGCCTGCCCAGTCCTCACCTCGGTCACCTGTGACAGTGCTGACCCTGCCAGCCGGGGGGCGGCCATCGCCCGGCCCCAGGCTCTGCCCTCCCGAGCGTCCCCCGGCCCAAGCCCGCACTAGCACGGGCCCTGAGTCTCGTGTGTCTGTGTCCCCACCACAGATAAAGGCCCCACAGCGGCCAAGTCAGGAATCTCAGGACCAAAGGCCGGAAGCAAAATCCCCACCCCAAAGGGAGGCCTGAGCAAGAGCTCCAGCCGGACGTACACCAAGCGGTGACACGTCGGGGACCAGGCCAGTGTCTTGACTCCAGACCCTTCCTCCAGAACACTGGACGCACAGCCCTCTGCTGTCCCTATGGCCCCGGCTCCCACGGCGGTGCCTGGTCTGCTCTGTTCAGCCGCTGAACGGTGTGCACGGCTGTGACCAAAGAACCCCAGAGCTGAGTCCCCCACCCCTGACGTTGCAGCCCTCGGGTACAGCCCCTCTGGCCTCCGGGGACCAGAGCGCAACAGCCAGAATAAAGGCATACAGGTGAACAAGGAAATGTAAGAGACAGCAGCTGCCAGGACCCGCCTGCACACGGGAGCTTGTTCCCAGCCCCAGCCCGTGCTGTCCGAGGCCCCGGCCTGTGTGGCCTGTGCCCTCCCTGTGGTCAGGGCTGCAGATCGCTCCCTGGCCGAGCCCTGGAGAAGCGTGATGGTGATGCGCCCAGCCAGCCCCGCACCAACCTCACAGCCCGTCCACAGGGTTCAGTTTCGGTCCTGGCACCGAACACTTCTGCAAGCCCGGGCTGGCTCAGGTCTGTTGCTCTGTCCTTTCTCCCCCAGGCTGTAAGTGGACCGGAAGCCCAGTTTTTCAGACAGTTCATAGGATGTTAAAAGACTCCGATCTAACACAGATCTCAGGAAAGTATCTCCTCACAGGCCATTAGGCCCCAGGGTTTCCTCCAGCGACCAGCAAGATGAGCTGCCTGTATGCACTTGGAAACGCCTATCCTGTCCTGTCTCCATGCCCTCTGCCCCAAGCGCCAGGAAGCCGTGGGCTGAGGGACAGGCCCACCCACAGTGGCCAGGGCACTGCTTGCATCCTGAGGTTGCATAGGCAGCTTTCAAAATGCACTCCGGGAGCTGGGGATCTAGCTCAGAGCAGAAGTGCCTGCCTGGCAAGTGCAAGGTCCTGAGTTTGATTCCCGACACCAAAAAAAATGCAGTCTGAAGTGTGTGGGACTGAGGGAATTATGACCCTGCAATTAGTGTATGAATGCTTTTAACCCCCAACCATGTGAAACAATGAAATATGTATCAAAACTAACGTGAGGAGTTCAAGGCAGCCTAGGCTACATGGTGAGTTCAAGGCCAGCTTGAGCTGGACAGCGAGACTGTCTCAGACAAAACTAATAGGTACATGAACACTGAGGTCCCCGGATACGTTGGTAACCAAGAATTTGGATTGATTAACCTCTGCTTTTTGGCAAACTAATACCTCATGGTATCATTGAATAAGAACAAGATCACCAACACGATAATTATTAAAAATCTTTGTGTGGGGAGAGAGAACATAAAACTTTACTAGACAAGCTGAAGTACAGGTGCCAGGTGTCTGTACGGTGGTATTGTTTCCAGAGATGTTGGCCCTTACTTTGTAATGCATCTTTTAAGAACAGAGAAAGCACTTCTTTAAAATGAGAAAAGCTAACCGAGGACTTACTCTTTTCTCTGCAATCTAAATTTAATAGATGTAGTGTCTCCTAAGACATTTATAAAAATAATTCATGTTTTAGCCAGGCATGGCTGCACCTATAATCCCCACACTTGGGAAGTGAGACAGAAGGATCATTGTGTTTGAGGGCAGTCTGGACTGCATAGTAAGACCATGTCTCAAAAAATTAAAAACCCATTTTTAGTGATTAACAAACAGAATTGGTCTCCCACCTACTTCTTGTGCTGGTTACTGGAGAATCAAGTTTCTGTGGTGATGACTCTGGCCGTGATTAGTGGCTGTGAAAAGCACTACAGTTATCCTAAGAGAACAAGACGACCCAAGAGGACCTGTGAGAGCCCTTGGCCATTCAAAATTAAATACCTAAGCCTGGAACTAATAAATGAACTTGCACTTACGCTTATGTCGTGGGTATTTAATATTTATTTATATTATTTTCATATTTTAAGATACTAAATCTACAAAAGTTGTATTGATAAATTTGCATTAGAATACAAATGTAAATGCCTTTAATGACAATTTGCAATTTTTTAATGTTTTAACAGTTTTCTATTTGTCTTTATTTCAGGTACCAGAATTATAATATATTTTTATTGTTACTGTCTTAGGGCATATGGGTTAATTCAGCTTGAGTATATTAATATAATAAAAAGACCACTACATATTTTGTCGTTTATTTCATGGTTATAATGAAAAGCAATCTGTAAGTCACTTTAACGTGCTAAATGCAAGCACAGCTCGGCCCTGAGTCTGGAAAGCAGGCTGGAAGCTTCTGAGGGGAGTCGAGCTGCCTTGAGCCCTGGGCCCCAACCCACGCCCACACTGCTGGGGATCTTAGTGCGCAGGCAACAGCAGCTTCCACCAGCTTCCCCCGCAGCACACGTGCAGAATGTTCTAGAGCATCCAGCTGTGCCCAGGGAGCTCTCAAGACACAGGTAATGTGGAAGCCAGGCTGGGGGAGGCTGCTGGTGACTGAAGTCACCTGCCCTTTTCTTCAGGGTCTCCAGGGGGGAGTCCTGTGCCGGCTTCCAAGATGCCAGCAATCGGCTGCTGTTTTGTGTAGCAATCACGAACTGGCAACGTGTGCCTGTGAGCGTCCACGCCAGAGCTGTTGGCTCCTGCAGTGTCCGCCACCTGTTCACTGCTCCAAGCTGGCAGCTGCGGGCCCTGCCTGCTCCTGTGCTTGCGGTCACTGCAGCCGGACACCTTCAGGGTCCCAGCGCCCATGTGACAGGAGCTGTGGGTGGGCAGCGGGCGGCACCCGGCACAGGCTCAGCATAAGGGGTAGGAGGGGCCAAACCTGCTAATGCAGGGAACTTGCTTAGCAATGAAGAACTTGCTTACACCTGTGCGGTGAGGCAGTCTGTTGAGGCCCAAAAGAGAATGGCTTCCGGGCGCCCCCGGGCCGCGCCTCACTCCCGCGTGGGTGACAGCCCCACACCTGAAGCCTGCTGCGGACAAGGGGTGAACAAAGCACTCTGGAACATGTCCGGCCCCTCTCCTGGCTCAGCAACGGTGGAGCATTTGCCCGTGTGCATCTGCCTCGGCTCTGCACCTTGCAGTGGCTCCCTGTGAGCCAGTGGCCCCCACCACCCACCGCGACGAGCTCTGGGGGCTCCCGGGCCACTGCTGCTACACAAGCATGACACTAGGGCCACCCTTGGCTGTCCCTGGAGGTGCTGCAGAGCAGGGGAGCAGAGATCCCCTGAGTGCGCCGTGCTCAGGGTGCCAAGGTGACATCGGGGTGCAGTCCCGGCGCCGGGCCCCACCCCCACCCCAGCGCCCCACTGTCCTGAGGGTCGAGGGCTCCAGGGCGGGGTGTCCTCCAGTCACCCTCCTCGCGGCCCAGCTTGCCCTCGGGGCCGCGCCTCACTCCGGTGTGGGTGACAGCCCCGGGGAACGCCACTCGCCAAATCCTCGTCACCAGGTGGCCACAGGGCTGCAGGGCACCGGCCACAGCCCTGCCCAGCTGGGCCAGGGCAGGCACTGGCGGCTGGACCCGGCCTCCCCAGCCCCAGGGGCCTGGGACCCTGACCGGCGCCGGGGTGAACGCGGACGATGGTCCCCACACCGCCCGCGGCTCTGGAAGGCGACGCGCTCAGCAGGCCGAGGCCCTGGCGGGCGAGGGCACACAGGGCGGCTGGGAGCCGGCCCCGCGCGGCAGCCGCGAGACCACCGCTTCTCCACGCCCCGCCTGCGCCGGGCACGGGCCGCCGGCTCCCGACCCGACCGGCGCGCTCCGGCCGGCTGTGCGCGCTGGGCCTCGGCAGCCAAGCCCCGCTGCCAGAGGAGCCCGCCAGCGCCAACCGCGGCCACCTCCAGGCTCTTCCCTCGGGGCAGGGCCAGGGGCCGGGGCGCAGCTCCAGCCTGAAGGCCGCACGCAGGCCGGCACCGCCGGGGCCCCGAGCCGCTCCCTCCCACACAGCCGGGCGGCAGCCGCGGGCGCCCTCAGGCCCGCCGCCGTCCCCGGGAGGGAGGCTGCGCCACCGCGTCGCCCGTGCCCGAGCCCCAGGGAAGTCACGCTGTCCTCGGCACAGCCCATAGTCTCAAGGGCCGACCTATGCCTGCAGGTGGCTCGTCCGCAGGCATTAAGTACACCATAGCAGGCAGGGATGCCCGGGCCCGGGCCGCGCGAATCCCGCAACACGCGCCCGCTGCCGAGCCGCCCACGCCCCACAGACCACAGCGCGCGGACGCTCCAGGAGACCTTCTGGACCATCTTCTTTGTGGCACGCTCGCGACTCTCTAGCGACCGAGCGCGCTCTCTATGACCTCTTCCGGCACAGGCCGGAGGCGACGCGCAGATCCCCGGAAGTCCGGCGCGGGGGTGGGCGGGGGACAGTGGCACGATGGCGGTGGCGGCAGTGTCCGAGGCCTGGCCCGAGCTTGAGCTGGCGGAGCGCGAGCGGCGGCGCGAGCTGCTACTGACGGGGCCCGGGCTGGAGGAGCGGGTGCGAGCGGCGGGTGGGTGCCTGCCGCCGCGGCTCTTCACGCTGCCACTGCTGCACTACCTGGAGGTGAGCGGCTGCGGCAGCCTGCGCGCGCCCGGGCCGGGCCTGGCCCAGGGCCTGCCCCAGCTGCACAGCCTGGTGCTGCGGCGCAACGCGCTGGGGCCCGGCTTGAGCCCCGAGCTGGGGCCGCTGCCGGCGCTGCGCGTGCTCGATCTGTCCGGCAATGAGCTGGAGGCGCTGCCGCCGGGCCAGGGCCTGGGGCCCGCCGAGCCGCCCGGCCTCCCGCAGCTGCAGAGCCTCAACCTCAGCGGCAACCGGCTGCGCGAGCTGCCCGCCGACCTGGCGCGCTGCGCCCCGCGTCTGCAGAGCCTCAACCTCACCAGCAACCTCCTGGACGCCTTCCCGGCCGCGCTCTTCCGCCCCGGTGCGCTGCCGCTGCTCAGCGAATTGGCGGCCGCCGACAACCGCCTGCGGGAGCTCAGCCCCGACATCGCGCATCTGGCCTCGCTCAAGGTCAGCTGGGGCCGGCTCGGGGCGCTGGGCGTGGGGAGTCTGTGCCCAGCGCACCCACGGGCCCCTGAACTCGCTTGCTGGTTCGTAGCTGTTAGCAAACTTGGCTCCACTCTGATTAGAATAGGGACGACCGGTATCTAGTCTTTTAACATCTGTGAATTGAGCGAAGGAGCCTTGAAGGAGTGGGGCTTGCGCGCTGCCACGTGATGGGTTTCCTGGTCGGTGTTGCACTGCCTGCTGAGGCGGGGAGCCTGTTCGTGTTTCACAGTGAGCGCTTTGGGCTTCACTCTGCCCTGCGTCCTGGAGATCCTCAGGTGCCGGCCTGATGCGTGGCAGAAGCAGGCGCCCGTTAAATCTGTTGGGTGCGGGATAGGAGGAGCCGCATCCTGACTCGGTGTTCCCTCTGGATCATCCTTAGCGAGGCAGCCCTGCGCTGCTGCTTCCTGCTTCGCAGCCGGGAGTTCATGCAGACGTTTCATAGCAGAGAGTGTACAGTTCAGCAGCTGAATCTGCTGCACCTGTTACTCATGAGGCAGGGCGTCTGGCTTTGTGCAAATGCTCATGTAGAAAGATTGGCCTGTTTTTGTAAAGGTCTGTGTTTGTAGTTGGGAGAAACAGGCAAGACATTCTGCAGAATGACCCTCGCCGGCTGCGGCTTCCTGGCAGAGGCCCTGGGGTGTGACTCCACGGGTTGCTTGGGCCTCTGGGGCTTCGACATCCCTTTTACAGCAGCCTCAAGATGAGTGATGTAGACGCTGTCTGCTCTGTATTGTCGTCTGGTAGATCTTTCGGTTTTCCAGATGTCTGATGGGCCAGGTGTGCGTTTTAACACAGTGGCTTTCGCAGCGCGTGTGACAGATGCACGCTTTTCACCGACACAGCTGCCCGCTCGCTCGGCAGATCTGCTCTTGCCGCTGGTCTGTCCGGTGGCTGTGTTCGGCTCAGTGGGCTGAGCAGGGCGGGCTGGCTGCTGTCTGTGTTTCGTGTCACCTCCTCCCATCCTCGCCTGCTGGCTCAGGGCTTCTTAGTATGGAAGCAGCAGCCGCCAGGCCTTAAGGCTGAGGTCTGGAGCTAGCATCTTGCACCTCACCGAGTTCTGCTGCTTAGACACGTGGAGAAAGCCCCATCCAAGCCCACAGGAGGCACTGACCGGGCTGTGGCCACCAGGAGGCCAGCTTGCTCGGGAGCCAGAGTAACAGCACGGAGTCCTCTGGTGGTTCACTGACCTCCCAGAGCAGGGAGGCTGCAAATGTAAGGGCCTGGGCTGGGCCCCTCTCCATCGGCTACCACCAGCTTTAGCTTAGCACTGTGCAGCGTGAAGCCTTGGTCTGTCCTCACTCACCCCAGCCACGGGGAACGAGGAACTGAGGGGCTTGCTGGGCTTTACCTACTGGTGGGCGTGGCTTTGTTGCCTTGGCCTCGGATCGGTTTATCTTGCTACCCTCCGGAGGAGACCTGTGAGCACTTGGGGCAGCCTTTATCCTGTTCTTCCTGGGGTTCTGTGACTCTTTGGGCACAGTTATTGTGTCCCTCCTACCCGCATCCAAAGTGGCCAACATGCAGGCTCGAGGTGCTGTCCCCCTGGGACGTCCAAAGGGGCCAGGGTAGGACCTTAGCTAGCACAGGCTCTGTGTCGGGATTTCTCCTCGGCCCTGGGCCTGGCCTTTGTCTGTAGTTCACACAGGGACTGCTTTCTCCAGGGAGAAATTCATCTTCCTTTTTTATCTTTATTTTTTAGCTTTTATTCGTACATGTTGGCAATACACAACAGTTACGGAACTCAACTTCTGACGTGAAACCTCCTGTTTCCCAAGAAAAGAAACTGAGATCAGCAGTGCTTCCCCAGTCTTCTCAGATGTCCTTAGTTGCTGAGGATGCTGTCAGGCCACTGTGCAGGGGCAGTCCCTCCTGCACCTCCCATGGGGCTGTTTGGTGCCCACCCTCATGGCCACAGCGTTGGGGTCCCTTCCCAGGAGCGTGTCCTGTGCACATGCAGGGCCAGGCAAAACCTCACAGAGCCACTGTCTGTGGGCCTGGTGGCTTGTGCTCCCGAGGGGGCCAAACAGCTCATCCGGCTGGGCATGAGGTTCCTCAGCACAGTGCACGTAGCGTCCCTGAGCACCAGGACGTGGGAGCCCAGCGCCTCTGCTCAGCTTTGGACGCCTCACATTGCCCTCCCAGCCTAGGAGAGCCCGGAGGCTCCCTGCTTCCTGTTGGCTCACCCTTCATGCATGAAACTGGCTTCGCTTCCACAGCAAGGGTCCATCCTGGGTCCCAGGCCGGATTGAGCAGCGATGTGGAAGAGGGAGCAGGTGCACTTGGTCAGCTGGACTGCGGGGTTTCCAACAAGGACTCGGATCAGGGGCTTTGCACCCAGCACCCTGAGCTGCCAGTCAGGCCTCAGCTCCTACTGTGCCACGCTCTCGTCCTGTGGCGATGTCCTCTCTAGGGACCCCTTCTCAGCAGGCTTCTGCTCGAGCGGCCCATCACCCTCCCGTGCTGCCCTGGCTTTCTGGCCTACTGCCTTCAGGCCAAGAGTAACCTGCTTTTCACCTGCAGAGAAGCAGCACTGCACTGGGCAAGCTGGCATGGAAGGGCGAGGGTTTCCTTGGCAGAGGTCAGGAGGGCAAGGGAGGGTGGGTGCTGGAAGCCTGGGCTCAGGAGCAGTGCGTCTGAGAGTGTCCGGAAGAGGCTCTGGGAGGCCGGGCCAGGTTCCAGGGGACGGCTCTGCCTCCTGATGGGAGTGGCTGCCCGGAGTGGGAAGGATCTGGAGAGGCACAAAATACAGCTTGAACTTCATAATCAAAACTGCAGAATCTGAAATGCTCCACAGTGTCTCTCTGTCTTTACTGCTGACATGATGTCAGAAGGAGAAAATTCTGCTCACTTCGAGTGCTGGGTCCCCTCAAAGCCCAAGTACCACAAATACCGTGTAAATGTAGCTCTGCACTGTTGGGGTGTCTAGAAGCGTAAGTCCCTTCCATGGTGGGCCTTGGTTCCAGTGCACACGCACGCACACGCACACACCCAGCCAAGACACCTGTATGGCAGGCATTACGAAGCCTGAAACAGTGCAAGATGAGATGTGGGCACTGACTCCGAGTCTTCTTGACAAGGCCTCCCCCACCTGCGGTGACACTGTCAGGCAGATTAACCCACTGTGTCGGCTTGGTGGCAGCCCAGTCCCCGCAAGGCACCCCGTGTCCAGCTGGCCTCGGGTCCCGAGCTCTCTCCTGCAGGGGTGCGTGTTCTCTTCCTCCATCTTCCTGCTGGGCTGTTACAGCTCTTCCTGCTCCGAGGTTCTGCTCTGTCTCTGGGGTTGTGTGTGCTCACCTGTGTCACCTCCGCCCTGCTGGGTGTCCCCAGCCCGATGGCTTGATCCAGAGGTTCCAGTAGACTCATTGCCTGGGCTTTGAGAAGCTCCACTGAACTTGTCCTCCACCAGCCAAAACGGATGGTGTCTCAAGTAGCAGAGTCCCCGCTCCCCCAACTTCCACACCGCAGTGCTGAGGACAGAGCCCGAGTGTGGAGGCCAGGGATCCGCCTGGCAGCTGCCCCAGAAAGTCAGGTCACCGCGTCAGCAAGCAGACCTCCCCACGGGCCCTGGAGGGCCGTGAGAAAGCAGTGTTTACGCCGGGTTTCCTCAGCTGGGATGGCCAGCTGCTCTGGGTACCAGAGGGGAAGAGGCAGCACAGGGCAGGGGGTGGGGGTTGGGGGGGCCCTGCACCTGCGCAAGCCCCACCCCACTCCAGAAGGGGGCATCGGGTTCCGTGACAGCCAGCGGTGATGGCGGTGGAAGGCTCCACTCCGTCATATCTGAGGGCCTTCACAGCACACATACAGTGATACCTCCGCCTTTTCTGAGTCCTGTCGAGGGCCAGAGCTGTGCCACCAGCTGCTTCACATCTCCCTTCGTGCCAGGCACCTGGGACCCCGGGCTTCTGTAGGAAGCAGTATTCCTTGGAGCAGTGCTGCCTGCAGGCTTTGCTGTATTCTTACTTTCTTGTTGATTTAATTTTAAACATTTTCCTGTCTGGGGAACCTTTCTTGAGGGCGGAAGTACTGGTTTACTCAAAGGGCAAGTACACATTCTGTAGCCAGGCCCCTCTCCCCTCCCACCTGGTGACTGAGAGCCGAGTTAGCGGCACCACTCCGTAACCCAGCAGGAAGGGCGAGCCCTGCGTATCTAGGAAGGGTTTGAGGTCGCTGTCCCCTGGAGAAGCCCCCTGGGTGGGCCACGTCCCTGTGGAGGGGATAACAGAGCAGGAGGGTGGACTTGGAAGTGTAGCTGCAGCTCTCCAGAGCCTGCCGTAGACCCTGAGTGGTCTTGCCTGCCCCAGCAGGGCCAGGGATCTCCTCAGGTCCCCTGACCTCCCTCGCTGTCTTCCCAGACCCTGGACCTCTCCAACAACCAGCTGAGCGAGATCCCGGCCGAGCTGGCGGACTGCCCCAAGCTCAAGGACATCAATTTCCGGGGCAACAAGCTTCGGGACAAGCGCCTGGAGAAGATGGTCAGCGGCTGCCAGACCCGGTCCATCCTGGAGTACCTCCGCGGGGGCGGCCGGGGCGGCCGGGGCCGGGGCCGGGCCGATGGCTCTGAGAAGGAAGACGCTCGGAAGAAGAAGAGGGAGCGGAAGCAGAGGCGGGAGAGCGGTGAGGGAGAGGAGGAGGTGGCAGATGCGGCCAAGCTGCTGCTCAGGGTCCTGCATGTCTCTGAAAACGCTGCACCCCTGACGATCAGAGTGAGCCCGGAGGTCCGGGATGTGCGGCCGTACATCGTGGGCACCGTCGTGCGAGGCATGGATCTGTGGCCCGGGAACGCACTCAAGCGCTTCCTCACCTCCCAGGTAGGGCCCGGGCTGTCAGCTGGAGGGGCGAGGGTGTGGGGCACCGCGCACTGGGGACAGGTCCTAGGGCCAGCAGCCAGCAGCCAGGGAGCATGGTGCAGGTGGGGCCAGCTGGGGGACCAGCATGCCTCAGTGTGTCCCCCTAGGAGCGGGAGCACGGCGGCCCTGTTTCTGAGGATCCGGTCCTTTGCCTCTGCACACACAGCCTTCACACTGCCCTCACTCTGGGAGCCCCGCGTTGCCCCTGAAAATGGGAGTTCCTTGAACTTCCCACTAGCTGGTGGATTTTCTGGTTTCTGTAGAATTGCACCTTTCGTTTCACAGCAGCTGGTGTGTCAGTGGCAGGTCTGGGAGGCATACTGTCCCCGCACTGCTGGGCTCTGGGTCAGACTAACTTCATGTCGTGGTTTCCAGGGACATGTGCCCTACTTTTAAAATACAGTGCACGCCTAGGTAGGACCAGTAGGGCTGAGGTTTCTCCTTCCAGGCACACATTCTCTGCCCCGAGTTCTACCTCAGGGTAGGGTCTTCAGAATCTCAAATGTGTCTTCCAGAAGTGGAGGAAGAAGAACCGCTGCTGGAGAGCAGATGAGATAGTTTGCCAGTGCTGACTCGGGGTGGGAGGGCCGAGGGTGGCCCTGGGGGCTAAAGCCCACTCCTGCCCCCGTTGCAGACCAAGCTCCATGACGAGCTCTGCGAGAAGAGGACAGCAGCCACCATCGCCACCCACGACCTCCGCAGCGTGCGAGGGCCCCTGCTGTACACGGCCAGGCCACCCCAGGACCTCAAGGTGCCGCCCGCGCTGCCCCCTGTGGTTTCTGTAGTGTTTCTCTGTAAGACGCGCTGGCAGCTGGAGGGCGCTGATCCGTGTCCGATGCACAGCGCCGGTGGTGGGGCTGATCCCAGCACCAAGCTGCGGGTCCCGCCTGGCCAGCTCAGCCCCATCTCCCCACTGGCTCCTGAGGACCCAGAGCGTCAGACCCACTTGTGCTGGAGCCGGGCTCGAGGGGAAGCTCAGCTCAGTACTCGAGAGCTGGCATTCAGTCCCCAGAGGGGACCCTGAGGACACAGCCTGCGTGCAGCTTGGCGTGATCACGCAGGCCAAGGCGTGCAGGCGCACTTGCCCACTAGCTCCCCAGAGACACTTGCGTGCGGGCGGGAGGTGCCGGACGTGCAGACAAGAGCTGCGTTTGTGAGGCGAGTGTGTCTCTGTGTTCCTGCCCTGCAGATCGTGCCCTTGGGGCGGAAGGAGGCCAAGGCGCACGAGCTGGTGCGGCAGCTGCAGCTGGAGGCCGAGGAGCAGAGGAAGCAGAAGAAGAGGCAGAGCGTCTCCGGGCTGCACAGGTGGGTCAGCCGTGCCACACAGGGTCCCGGCGCCACACTCACAAGTGCGGGACTCTCAGGTCGTGGCGGCGTCCCCTCCCCAGATGCCTCCAGAAGGAAACGCTGGACTGGCTCTGGGCCTGAGCTTGACCAGGGGCTGTTCAGAGAGGCCAGCATGCTAGCACAGGACAAGAAGGAACCAACTGGGAGCCCTTGTCAGGGTGCTGCAGTGCTGGGGTGCATGTGGGGGTGCGCTGTGTGCAGGGCCCACGTGTGCCCTGCCCAGACGTGATCTCCACGCGAATACTGTGCATGGTGCCACTCTCAGTCTCTGAAGAACTCTAACCTCACAGTCAGCCTCTGGCTGGTCAGCAGCTGCCTGCTATAGAGAGCCCTTCCCAGTCCTTGTCGAGGTCCAGGAAGTTTATATTTGCAATCCCCTGAAAAGTTACTGGAATTCTATCGAGTTAATTCCAGTCTGCCACTTCCAGTGTAACCCATGGCGAGAATAAAGACACTAAGGCATATTTGTAGTTGAGGGGAGCCAAGGGCTCCTAAGTCCAGCTAGGGTAGTGGCTAACCAGGACAAAGGCCTTGACCCAGGGCCAAATCCGGGTTTTACTAATTCGTGAAGAGGAGAGTAGCTTGAGGATGACTGACTGTGAGAGTGGCGGGAAGTCTGTGAGTGCCATGAGCTGGGCTAGGCGGGAGGCTAGAAATCGTGTGTGCAATATGCAGAGAAGGATATGCAGAGGAAGATATGCAGAAGGATATGTAGAGAAGGATATGCAGAAGGATATGCAGGAGTAATATGCATTACACACCGGAGGCAGTCTCTAATGTTTTAGGGTCAGTGCTTCAGCTCTGACGTGTAATTTTCTATGCCCTGGGAAGTCGAGGCTCAATCCCAGCCAACAGCATGGAGCGTGGCTCTCTTTCCTGCCTTGGCTCACACGTTTTGTGGGAGCTACAGGGTCGGGGAGACGCTGCCCTGTCGCCTTGCTTCAAAGACTTCCATCAGCAGCTCAGCTGGACCGACACACATCGCTTAAAGCCAGTTGAGGGCATGAGGAAACATCCCAGCCAGCTCTGCGCACATCATTACGTGGAAATAGGGCCAGGCTCGGCCAAAGGGAGACTGTGGCTTTGCTCTCAAGGAGAGCCGTCCACATGGTCCTGCATGCTAGCCGTCCCTGCTTGCTTCACACAGGTACCTGCACCTGCTGGACAGCAAGGAAAACTACCCTTGTCTGGTGGACGCGGATGGAGACGTGATCTCGTTCCCGCCCATAACGAACAGTGAGAAGACAAAGGTGGGCAGGGTCTTCCATGTAAAGTCCCCTCTAGTGCAGGAAAGGAACGCCTCAGAGCTGTGCCACCGCTCATGCCTGCACGGCACCACGGGTGCCACCCCCAAGCCCGCACTGCTCGTTAGAAGGCGGTGGTGTTGGTCAGGGTGACTCCACTGCACGTAGACCTTTCCTGAGGACACAGGTTGCAGTGGCTGAGGTCTGCTTTTGGCAACTTTATTCTGCTCTGAAATCTCTCTCCCTGTTTTTAAGATTAAGAAAAGCACCTGTGACTTGTTCTTGGAGGTCACCAGTGCCACGAGCCTGCAGATCTGCAAAGACATCATGGACACCCTCCTCCTGGTGAGCAGCGGCTCCTGTGGTCTGCACTGCCCCTGCTTTCCCCCGGGGATGCAGTCCGGCAGCCTGTCTCTGGGCAGTGTTCATCACCCAGTTAAAAAGATACTTTTCCTTTGCAGAGAATGGCCGAAATGAACAAACACACTTTAGAAAATAAAGAGGAGGAGTCACTCTCCGACACAGAGGCTGATGCTGTTTCAGGACAACTTCCAGATCCCCAGAGTGCCAGGAAGGACGGGCAGTGCCCTCTGGTGGTGGAGCAGGTCCGCGTGGTGGACCTGGAGGGCAGCCTGAGGGTGGTGTACCCGTCCAAGGCTGACCTGGCCACTGTCCCGCCCCACGTGACCGTGCTTCGCTGAGGGGCCCAGCCACGGCACGGGGGGGCTGTGTGTGGTGACTGGAGGCTGTTGCTTGGTGTCTTCGAAGTACATGTATTCTTCGCTGTTTCCTGGGTGATTCTGACATAAACAGTGCTGTGTTGCCATTACAACACTACATTGATTTTCCTGTTTCATGAAATGATTTAAATGCCAGAAAAAACGGTTGTGAATGCCCTGAGTCAGGAGGGGATGCAGCAGAGGACGGGGTCCGGGAAGGCGAGGCGCTTGCTGCTCTGAGCGTGCAGACCTCAGCCAGACTCGGATGTGCACTGACTGCACCTCGGCTGCTTCCAAGACGCGGCATCGTTTTAACCGTCCTGTGGCAGCACTGTAAAACGTCACGTCTCCCAGCCTGCGGCGGTCTTCCTTTTTTATTGAAAAAAAAAGAAAAGCTTTTGAAAATGACTTAGATTTGGTGGGGTTAGATTTCAGCAGTGTGCCGATGGAGGGCTTGAGCAGGGGGCAGAGCACAGGCCACAGCAGGACCGCAGCAGCATGCCAGGCCGGGTGCTGTCACTGGCATGGGGCCACAGGCAGGTGTCCGTGGGCAGACAGTGGTCACTTGTCAGCAGTTGTCAGCCGCTGAGGGGAAAGTAGGCACAGCTGGGGAAGGGTTAGGTCTTTGAACCAAAAATCACAAAGTACATGTGCCAAGCCAGTGCTTCTCCCCGCTTCATGTCGTGTGTCCCGTGTGCACCTTGTGTCTGCGTGTATTCGTGTGTATGCCCGGCACAGGCACCCCTGCCTGGAGCCAGAGAGCTTGGTCCCCAGGCCCCGGCAGCTGCTGAGGGCCTTGGTGGCCTCACTGCCTTACCATCTGGCTCCAGGGGGAAATGGAGTGGCCAGCAGCACGGTCTTCTGTTTGGACAGCTTCCTGTGTTTCTGCAAAGAGACGGACAGTTTGCTGGCAAGTCTGCAGACGCCTCCCTACCTGCAGAGCTAGAAAGGCCCGAAGTCCCTCATGCTGCCGCCTGACATCTGCGTGGTGCCAGAGCACAGAGAGACAGGGGCCACTGCCCTGCCTCCGTGAGACAGCTGGACCGACCTCCATGCCTGGTCCCCACCCGGCCTTCCTGCCAGTCCCAATGGGGACTGGGAGATGAGGCCCAGGCTCCCGGCGACCTGGCCAGCTGCAGCAGGTGCAGTGACACCTTCCTTCTGCATGGCTCCTGTCAACCTGCCAGACACCCGTCTGTGTTGGGCCTGCTTGTCGTTTTGCGACTCGCTGTCAGGCCATCACGGCCGCCAGTGCTGAGGCTGCCGAGGGGTCTGCCCTGCTGGGAGGCCCACGATGGCCCATGACGTGTGAGTGGCTGCTTTGGACAGCGATGGCAGAGGCGCCCTCTGCCCTCTGCCCGGGGGCCCAGCGGCCACTCTCGCAGATCTGTCACTGCACTGACACCAGCCAGGTCCCCAGCACCTGCCGTGCCCTTGTCTCATATAGGCTGAGTATGTGAGATTTGGGGAATGATGTAACTTATAGCGGAAACCTCTTTGGTGTTTCGTTTTTCTGTTCTCATCCAACTCTAATAAAAAAAAATATTTGATAAGAAACAGCCCTGCCCGTGATCCTTTCCCGTCGGCATTTCCCGCAGCGCCATGAAATCCACTGTGGCCCAGTGCTGCCCAGGCGTGGGGAAACAGGACCTGGGGTTGCTTGTGCCATCCCCACCCAGATCTGGACCCTACCAGAGACTTGCTGAGCCCGGGCCCTCAGGCTGGCTGGGCAGGCCGAGGGGAGCTGGGCAGCCGCTACCTGCCTGGAGCCATTGGCCACCTGACTCAGAGGTGCCCTTGGGGATGAGAAGGGGCTGTGCCTGGGGTTTACTCACTTGAGGGTCCCTGAAGGCTGCAGGCAGTGCAGTGCCCAGCCTTGTGGGAGCCCCTTAGGCCTCTGCTTGGGGTGCTAGGCAGCCGCCAGCATCAGCCCCGGAGTGCTGCACCAGCCCTGGGTCACTTCCCCTCTTGCCTCCTGGCCAGTGGCCCTCGTACTCAAACTGTCCCTCCTTGTCCTGCGCCCTACCACTCCAACCCCATTTGGTCTGTCCACACAGCTCCAACCCGTGGGCTGCCTCGCTGGGGCACGCTGCTGACCGGGCCTCCGGAAGAGCAGAGAGCTGAGCCCTGCGTCCCCAGAGTGGAGCCCACCCTGAAGTGGCTTCAGGCGGCGGCTGGGGGCGTCCGCACAGTTCTCACAATGGCCCTGCAGCAGGCTTCCAGCAGTCAGGGCCTCACCCACTGGGGGTCCTAAGCTGGGGGGAGGGGGGAGGAGGAGACCGCTGGCCCGCCCCTTGGCCTGGCCAAGCCCTTCCTGTTTACATCTCCATCCTCCACCGGCAGGGACAACAGTGTCCGGGAGAAACACCCCCCACCGGATGTTGCTGGCAGGGCCTTGCAGGGCTGAGACAGCTTCGCGGCCCAGACCAAAGTCCCTGAGACAGCTGCAGTGGCCTCAGGGCTGCTAAGCCTTGTTCACGTGGGATCAGGTGAGGAGGAGCAGATCACCGCGTACTGTACCGGCCTCGCGAGAGGCCCCAAGCAGGAGGAGCACATTCCACGGCCGGGAGCCAAGCAGGGGCACTCAGCAGCGCAGGCAGAGGCCCTTATTGGTCACGCCTGGCCGCACAGCCAGGGCAGCACACAGAGGTCACCGTCCAGTCTTCCAACACCTTTATTGTACGCAGGCATTTGGCCCGCACGGGGCACTTGGGCTGAAGAGGCCACGCGCGAACTGGGTGGCTCAGAAAGGCACGTGGTGTGGCGTGGTCTCTGCCCCTGGCAAAGGGTGGGCGGGGTGCCCATGTTGGGGGTCTCCTTACAGGATCGGGAGTCAGAAAGGCCTGGAGGGCTAGGGGCTGCATAGGGTCTGGGCCCTCGGGTGGGAGGATGGCACCCAGTGTGGCCAGGGCTCAGGGGGCCCCAGGCGAAAGGGCTGTGGCCGCAGGGCCAACCTGGGGTGTCCTGCAGCTCCTGCCAAGCTGGGCCTGGGCCTCCAGCGGCCCACACACCATGCCGGGCGGGTCTCTTGTCCTGCGAAGGAGCTCTGTGCCGGGAACATGCTACACATATGTGTGTCCGTTTGCCTGCACACTCAGTGGTGTGACAAGTACACCCTGGTGGCTTTCCGTGCCCAGCACCGTCGCCGCCCCTGCGTGCCCGCCTGCCCTTGGGGCCTGTGGACCTGCAGCGGGTCTGTGCTTACAGAGTCTCTGAGCCCGTGCACGTGAGCCCGGCGGCCTTCACTTGCACTTGTGCACGTAGTAGCCAGTGACGTAGCCCAGGATGAAGATGACCCAGAAAAGGGCCACCCCACCCAGCACCTTCATGGCGATGCCAAGCTTGCCCGTGCACAGCGTCTGGGAGATCCTAGGGCGAGAACCACCCAGCGGTGAGCCTGGGGCCCTCCTACATGGACACAGGGCTGGGCCCCGGGGAGTGGCCAGTGAGGTTGGAAGAGGGGCTTCATGGAGGAGGCCTGGGTGCTCCCTGGAGCTGGAGGACACCCACCCACCAGAGAACCAGCCCTAGGTTGGTTAAAGCTAAAGGCCCAGGCACTGGACACCTGCTGGCCGGCACAGCTGGTATCTATTAGGGGTGCCCAGCTGGGGGAGCTGCGTGGGCTTTTCCTCCCACTCACTTTCTGCAGCATGACGCCTCTGTGCTTGACATGGTGCCGGCCACTCTGACTTCTTCCTGGCTGCTGTCTTCCCACCTGTTGTAGTGGACTCGGCTCTCCAGGGGCTCCATGATGCCAGCTCAGGGAAGGGAGGCTGAGGCAGGCTGCTAGGGAGGGTCAGCCTGGAGGGCAGGGAGGGACACTCAGATGGGCTGGCTTACACAGTAACTTGCCCCAGTGACACACGGAAGACAAGACCATGCAGGAATTCCAGCCCCCACGGCCAGCCCTGACCTCAGCCCCGCAAGGGGCCACATGTCCGCCTAGAACCACTACCGGGGCCTCCTACAGGTTGCATTATCAGGAGGCCTGCACCCGCCAGAGCGGCCTCATCCTGGGGGGCAGGACCCCACCACACTGGGCACTGTGCCCAGCCGATAACCACCCTCCTCCTTGGCCACGCAGATAAAGCCCCGAGCTGTGCCTGGGAGAGCTGGCGAGGACAGGGATGACCAGGGCTGGCGGCTGGTACGGCCTGGCTGGCTGGGAAGAGGTCTGGCCCGCCAGGGCCATGCCGCAGCTGTGCCCTCAGCCCCTCCCCTGCCCGCTGCCACTGAGAGGGGCCCAGAGGCTCCAGGAAGCCATGCAGAGAGGGGCAGGTGGCGGGACCTGCCGGGCGGACTGTGGGCAGCTGCATCACTGCAGCCTGGCAATGCACAGGGTGCCTGGCACCCCAGAGGAGACGGAGTCACTGAGCAGCACAGCAGCTGCCAGTGCAGGGTACTCACTGTGCGTCTCGCTCACCCTCTGGCCTCGGTGCCAACCTCCGGTCACCCAGTACCCAGGGCCCCCTCCTGACATCCAGCCCCAGCTGTGGGGTCCATAAGCAGGTGGCTGCAGGACCCCCACTCCTGGCAGCCAGGCCTTAGCCGGGCCCCCAGCAGCGGGGCTGAGGGTCCTGCACAGAGCTGCCTGGGGCACAGCAGGCTGAAGATCTGCAAGATGCCAACCCAGATGCCAGGACACTGGGCAATGCCCCACACACTTCTGTGTCTGCTCTTTCCCCGAGCGTGTCAAGGGGAGCCCTTGTTCGGGAAGGCTAAGCGTCCCTGCAGTATGGTGTCAGCAGGAGGGGCTTTATGTCCCTTCTTCCCATGTCACCAACTGTGGGGAAAGTGCTGGGTGCAGCAGGGGGAATGGTAGCACTTTTGCTTTCATGGAATTGTAAGTAGCCACCTCCTTCCTGCCTTGATATGATGGCTGGAGCAGCAGCAGCAACCGTGCAACACAGATACCCACGCAACACTAGCTGAGAGAGGGCGGGCTCTAAATCCACACCAACAACTGCCCACCTGTGGTGGGCTTCTGGGTGGGAGGGCAGCCAACCCACTCGTTCAAGCATGGGACAGGGGATCCTGATATCTTCTGACTGACATAAAACGCCAGGCCACCAGATGCCAGCGAGGTGCCCTGGGCCGGGCTCTTGGATCCCCTACTCAACAGATGCCCAGCTTGGGCTGTGTGAGAACGGAAGACCTGCACTAGGGGATCCCACGCGCCTCGGAGACACCCACTTACAGACGGTGGTCCTGCGGGCGGGATCAGCCGTGCTGTGCTGCGTCCTCCGGCTGGTGGTGCCGCGCGCCTGGGGTAAATAAACAGCGGGGAGAGGCGTGGCGGGAAGAGAGCTGGCCCAGGAGGCCCTCCCCGCCCGGGAGGTCTCGGGCAGAGGCCGCGGCCTCAGGGTGCAGGGAACAGCGCGCTCTGCATGAACGCCCCTCCCCACGGCCCCGCCCCGAAAGCCTCACCTGCGCCCCCCACAGGCAGCGCGCTCCGCCGCGTCTCCGCCGGGCCGGGAGGGGCGGGGCCGGGGCATTGGGGGCGGGACCGGGGCCAAGGTGGGCTCTGGTTGGACCAAGGCGTTGCTGTGGGCGGGGTCTTGACAGATGGGATGGGGCCTGGGCACGGCTGGGTGGGCGGGGCTTGGTAGTGCAGGGGTGGGGCCGGGGTAGTGCAGGGCAGGCCCGGCCCTGGCCCCAGGCCGGAGTGCGGAGGCGGCGTCCGAAGTTGCAGTGGGGAGGGATAGGCAGCCAACCGCTCTGCAGAGCGCCCCTTCCTTCCCCAGCCCCGAGGGCCGGGCTCGAGCTGGCTCGAACGCTCTGCTGCCCTCCCCGGGGGGCCGGGATGACCTCCTCCCAGCCGGGCGCCTGGTCCTGGCCCCCGCGCAGCTCCCTGCTGCGGGAGTAGAGGATGCGCCACAGGTGGGGTGCAAGCACCCTGCGGCCCGTGCTCATGTTAGCACGCCGGGATTCGGGAGCGGAGGGAGGGAGGAGCCCCGGATACACACCCCATTGCAGGGGTCCCTCTAGTAAGGGACTGGCCTGGCCGGGTGAGCCCCACAGCAGGAGGTCCCCTCCCCCGCAGGTGTGAGTTCTGGGATGGGCACCGTCGCAGGCCTCCTGCACTCTGGGTGCTGGAGGGGACCCAGATCAGTGTAGGAGTCCTCCGGAAGGAGCAAGGACCCCGGGCTCGTGTGCTGCCCGGTCCCAGCCATCGTTGGAGTGCGCATGCCCCGGCCTGGGTGCCGGGGAAGGAAAAAGCCAGGCTGAGACACACCAGGGTTTACTGTCCTGTCAGACATGGGGAGCCTGCCCCTGCGGGCCCACATCTGGCCACTGGCCTACTTGGGCAGCGTCTTCTTGGACTTGCTGGGCAGGATCTCCACCTGCTGCGGAGGGGGCACCTTGACCCCAGTCTGCTTCAGCTGTTGGTAGTAGTCATTCCTCTCTGAGATGACCCTCTGCGGGAGAAAGCCCGTGGGTGGCCCGCCCAGCCCCTAAAGGCAGGATCAGATAGCAGGCACTGGGGGTGTGGAGCGAAAACCAGCTAGGGCAGGAGACACCCTCCGCCCAGCTCTCCCACTTCAACATCTGCTCTTGGGGTTAAAAGCTGCCGCTCCTGCAGCTGAAGAGCGGGACAACAAACCGCAGTCCCCAGAGGGGAAAAGTCCTCAGAAGGGCGCCGACACAGGTGGGCACCTGAGTGCCCTCAGCAGTGAAGCCCTGGGCATCGGGGAAGGAACATGTGCAGAGCCCCAAGCGTTAGCAGGAGTGCATCCACCACACCCCACACAGGGCCACTCTGAGCGCCTTTGCTTTCACTCAACAGCGGCCTTTGCAGTCCAGCTCTAGTGCTCTCTTCTGACTCTTTGTTGCCAACACAAAGAACCTGGATCAATGCCAGGTGTGGTGGTGCATTCCTGTAATGCCAGCACTCGAGAGGCTGAGGCAGGAGGATTGCCGAGAGTTCAAGGCCAGCCTGGACTACATAGTGAGTTCAAGACCAGCCTGAACTATATCGAGAGATGATGCCATCTCAAAACAAACAAACATCAGCAAAGAACCTAGATCAGAGGTCCAGGAGCCCCTGGCCTGCCCCGAGGGCTCCCTGCAGCAGTGGGTGCTGGTGAAGGGAGCAAACAGAACACACAGGCGCCATGCCAGGACAGACGGGAAGGTTTTCCAGTTTCTAAGTGCAAACTGTGAGTCTGCACTCCTTTCCAAGAGAAACCCGCGGCAGATAAATTGGACTGTCCTCTACAGCAAAAAGGCACAAAAAGGAACAGCTGAAGAAATTCAGAAGAACAGAGCGAGCGGTCGCGTTCCAGAGGGCTGTCACGGGTGCGTCTCCTGCTGATATAATGGCCAAGAGGAGTCAGAAACCAGACACTAGAAAGGCCCAAAGACAGCAAGCGCCCGGGGCTGCCAAGCAAGCATCTAAACAGACCGCAGTGACTGCTGCCGAGCCCCCCAAAGGCAGCGCCCACGCACAAGATCGGGAACCTGTGAAAGTTTCTGCTCCCAGAGCTGGTAGAAAGCACTTAATGGACAGATCAGACTTTTAAATAAAAACCTGTAATTCTAAAAACAAAAAACCAAGAAGGAGGAGCTGAGCCTCGGGGCTTTGCTACTCCTGTGGAGTCCTGACTCCACTGGTCCCCGCCACGGAAGTAAAGCCACGTCGGGCAGGGCTGTGGCTCCCTGAAGCTCTTCCAGCCCACCTCCCCATTCCTCTTAGGGAGGCAAGGAGCTCAGACTCCAGAGACAGGAGCAGTCTCACCTGTCCTGCTTCTCTCACCCACTGGGATCCAAGAAGCACAGACCCCAGTACCCTCCCTGTGCCGCTGCACCCCATCCTCTCCCCCACCGACAGGAAGAGGCCACAGACCCCTCCCACTGTCCCCACTCTACGGGAAGTAGACTGACTGGGCCCCAGGGACTCATGGGTGCCTGCGGCTCTAAGTCAGACCTGGGGGAGGAGGCCTGGCCCCTGGGAGCAGAGCAGCTGCTGGTGAGAAGCAGCCCCACCCTGCCCTGCAGATAGGCACCCCCTTCCTTGTTACCAGGAGCCCTAGCTCAAAGAGGTGGAGGAGCAGAGCGGCCAGCCCTCACCCCCACGCTCAGTGGGTGGTGACTACTTGGGCCATGGCACCCTGCTGCCTCAGGGAGGCCTGTGAGGAGCCCGCCTGCCCGGGACTCAGTGGAGCAGTCGGTACAGGCCTGGCTTAGCCATGGGTTAGGGTTAGGCTTAGGGTCAAGGTCACTCAGTACCCCTCCTTTCAGCCGAGAGCTGCGCAGATGCCCTAACTCTAAGTCACAGCCACCCCTAGGGATGGTCCTGGGGTCACGGTGCATGGGTGTCACTGCCAGCGTGGGGACAAGGCCCCCTGAATTCAGCCCAGTACTCCCGCCTGCCCCCCAGCTGCCGGTCCCTGGATTGGGAGGCAACCAGCCTGGATGTACCTGCAGGGCTTCCAGAATGTCACTGTCAGAGATCTCTGTGGCCAGCGCCTTCACCCCCGTGACGCTGAAGGCCGCCTGGATGATCCTGCTCCTCAGCCGCTCCAGCTGCGGGCAGAGGAGCGACGCAGTCACCCCAGGGCGACGCCACGTTGGCGCCATGTGCAGGGCCCGAGGGCCCAGAAGGAACATCCTGGCCTTGCCCGTCATGGCCTTAGGACTGGACAGGGGCCCAAGAGGTGGAATCTCCTGGGCGCCTGGGCGCTGGGAAGTGGGGACGACACCCAGCTGGTGGGAGGCCCTCCACGACCGACTCCTCGCCTGTCTGTAAGCTGGAAAAGCACAACCGCACATGGTTTAAGACCAACGGAGGGAAGCTGCACGCGACCCAGGCCACTGTCCTCGCCCTCGAGCTCTGCAGACACACTGCAGGTGGGGAGCTCGGCTGGCCCTGGGTTTTGTCCTTGAACATTGGTTGGCAGAACCCCACCCATGGGCTCCTGGCCCTCCCTCTTCATGACCCAGGGCACCGTGCTGTACCCCGGGAGGACTCGCAAAGCCCTTGGGAGTGTGTGGTTGAGGTTTGCCAGTCTGCTCCCACCTGGGCAAGCTCATCGCCACTGTGAAACCACAGGGCACCCCTCCACCCCACAGCCAGGGGCCCTAGACAGGTCCCCCATCCCAGGCACCCCACCAACTCCTTGCCCTTCCACATCCAGGGCTCCGAGTGCAGAGGTGCCCAGGGAGCCCACACGGGGACCTGGTGCCGCCAGGGGCCCCACAATGCTGTTTTGCCTGTTGGGCAGGTTTAAGGGACAGTCACATCCCTGGACTTGACTGAAGAGGAGTCCTTTCCTCCCCAGGACGTATTAGGTGACCAATGCTTCCCAAGCACCATGCTCCGTGCCAGCAGTGTGGAGAAAATGAGGGGCTTGGCCTATGCACCAGCAGAGGTGGGCCCTAGGGTGCCCAGCCTGGGTCCCTACACTCCCCAATCAGCACCAAATCCTCAAGTCCCCATCTCAGTCTGCAAGGACAGTAACACAGCAGAGATCACTGCAGGGACAGGGAGGAAAGCAGAGCCCTGGGCCCTTCCTCTGCCCATTAAAAGCACGACCTGTGTTTTCTCCTGTGGCAGTGGGGCCCTGAAAGCCATTTTTGCTGTGTGACTTAACCCTTGCCCTGCAGACGCCCGATTGGTGACTACAAGCAGAACCAAGTTTGCCTTCCGATTTGTACCCTTGGTTGCTGTGAGATGTGGGTCACTCTCCTCGGAGCTCTGCATACAGCAATGTTCATCTTTAGGGAGTATCTGTCTGGAAGTGGGCAATTCAAGGTTGCTCAGTCCTGAATTTACATAATCTCACCCCTTCCAGGCTGACAACACCGGGGTGGGCAAGTTCCACCTGTGCCAGGGAAGTTCCCAGCCTCTGCCCTAAACCCTCTTGTCCTGACCTGCTCTAAAGATTTCAGAACTGTGACGCCAGGCCGAGAAAAGGATCCAGCGGACCCCAGTGGCGCCGGGCATACCCGGGCCTGGGCGCTCTCCAGGGCCACGCGGGCCTGCTGCTCTGACTGTTGGACGGCCTCGTTCCTGCTCCGCACGTCCTCCTGCAGCTGCTTCCACCGCTGCACGTGCTCCTGCTCCAGGCTGAGCTGCGCCTGCAGCTCGCTGACCTTGGAGATCATCTCCGCAATGGTGAGGTCCCGCTTGGCGAGCTCGCTCTCCAGGTCTGACACGCGCTGGCGGGGACAGGAGAGGGTCCGTTTGGCCCCTGCTGCCCCTGTGTGCCCCCCACCACATTTCCCACACGGCTGGGCTCCTCGGTCGGGCCCAACCGGACATGACTTGGCAGGGGCCCCTTGCGCTTGGTGCAGACCCAGGATGAGCTGAGTGGGGCGTGCTGGAAGTCAGAGGCCCCCAGCTCTGCTGCGCTGCAGAGCCTGCCTCCTCCGCCAGTTCCTCCATCCCGAGCGGCAGCAGGGACTGTGACCCGCAACGGCCCTCAGCACCACCCTGGCTGTCACCTGGCGGAGGTCGAGGTTGTCCTTCTCAATGTGCCCCATCATCTCCAGGTGCTTCTTGTCTTCCCGGAGCCTGGAGAACTGGGAGGCAGACAAGGTCGGAGAGAGCAGAGTGACCGCCATGCCTGGCCCCTGCCCTGCAGCTTTGCTGTGGATGCTGTGGGGTTTCCACCGGAGCGTGGGGAGAAGAGCCCCGGAACCTCCCCGCAGCTGGGAAGCAGAGGGTTAATGGAGGCTGGTGTTGCTGCCCTAGGCCAGCTGGAGAGACAGAGGACCACAGCCCAGCTCACACTGGAGCCTGCACAGGGCCAGGGACATTTGGGAAGTGGCCCAGGGCTTTGTGGCCCGGAGACAGGAAGAGAGAGAGCAGGGCCAGGCCCTGCAGCCTGGCAGGGATCAAGGCTCGCCTATCAGCCGCCGTGCAGCTGCCCTGAGCCCAGGTCCGCATCAGGAGGCTGGGGCTGCAGGGGCTATGGGGACCAGGGGGTGTGCTGGACCAGGCACCTTGTCGGACATGGCCTGCAGCTGCTGCTTCCGCTCACGGAGCTCCTTCTGCAGGGCCTCGTTTTCCATGACGACCTTCCCCATCTGGGACTCTTGGTAAGCCAGCTGCCGCTGCAAGGACCCCGTGGTTCCTGCGGGAGCGATGGAGGAGGAGGGAGGGGCTGGCTGTGCTGCGGTTGCCCACCCCTCCTCCGCGCTTGCCTACCTACGGCGAGGCAGTATCCGATCCGCGTGGCGTCCAGCTCGCTGTGGAACTCCAGCATCAGGCGCTCGTACTCCTCCAGCTGGGCCAGGAGCTCGTCCTCAAAGGACTCGGTCATCGAGAAGCCCCGTCCCCAGGAGCTGTCCCCTTCCTGGGTCAGGTCCTCCTCCTCGTCGTCCTCCTCCAACTCCTTCCCCCGCTCCTCGTCTGCTGCGGCCTCCTCCTGCACGATCCCCGCTCTGCCGGCACTGTCCCTTGCTCCGCCGTCCCCGGCCACCTTGGGCTCTGCACCGGGGGCCTGGTCCTCCTCACCACCACCCAGCTGCAGGGACAGCTCCCTGCTGAACTCGGCCTGGGTGTCCTCTTCTTGTGGCTGGAGAGGGGAAAAGGGGGCTGGGCAGGGAGGTGGGTGTCCTCGGAGCGGGAGGCCTAGAGGGCACCTTGTTCGGGCTGTGGAGTCCAGAGTGAAGGGACTCCCCACCCCAGCACGGCATGGACACCCTTGGGGTCAGGCTGACCCAGCTCTCACCTGCACTTGGCAGGGCCACCCCAGATCAGGCCTACAGTGGGGACTGTGGACTGACCCCCTGCAAACTCCTGGAGAGGAGCCCAGGGCAGCTGGGTGGCTTCGGCCCAGAGCTGCCCACGATGTTCCCCCGGGCCACACCTGCTCAGGGAGCTGCAGGTCCTCCTGCTCCATGTGGGGCTTCAGGAAGCTCAGCCTCCCCAGTGCCAGCCCATCCTCCAAGGGCGACTCCTGTGGGATGCCAGACCCGGCTGGGATCTGCCTCCTGGAAGGGGCGGTGGCCCCTCGGGTCCAGGTGGGGAGGCCGGGAAGAGCGGGATGGGGTCTGCCGGAAGGAACAGCCCCGTGAGTGGCCTCAGGGTGGGCATGCTCATCCGGATGTGTCCAGGGGTGCCAGCCACAGACAAGCACACAGGGCATGTCACGGAGGGGCGCTCTGCCCACACCGCCGTCCACAGTCTTGGACAGGGGTGGGGACCCTGAGTATCTATCGGGTCGTGGGTGTCCAGGGCGCCTGTCCCTGCCCTCAAGCCCCCTCCCTGCCCCTACTTCGTGTCTGTGTAGCACAGGCTGTGCCCCACGTGTGGAAGAAAGATCAGGAGCTCGACAGCCCCTCCTCCCTATAGCGGGACTCCGGGGCCAGGGGTTCACGACCGGCTCGGGGTGCCCGGCTGCCCACAGCACAGCCTGGGAACCCACAGGCCTGGCGTGGGAGGCCTTCGGCTCACCCTCCGGGACGGGAATGGCGATGTCTCGAGGCCCTTGCTCCGCAGGATGCATTTCAGCTGCTTCCGCAGGGCCTCCATCTCCCGCTGCAGCGCCAGGATCTCCTGGTCTTTCTCCTGCAGCTTCCCCTCTAGCTCTGAGAAGCGCCGGACCTCTTCTCCCAGCACCAGCAGGGAGCGCTCCTGGCAAGAAAACCCGGCAGCCCGGGCGTGGCACCGCCAGACCCCGCCCCCTTCCACCCCCACCCCCCACTGCCACCTCCCTGTCCCTGTCCCAGTCTGTCCCTCTCCTGCAGACAAAGCCCTGGCCCCCTGTTGCCACTGCTGTAACTTAACAGAAACTAAAAGAATTTGTCATCAGCAGATCTGAGCTTGGAGAAATAACAGGAAATTCTCCAGGCCGGAGGAAAATAACCCCAGGCAGGATATGCCAGAAGGAAAGATGGCTAGGAACCCCACCACCACCACCACCTGGTAAAAACATTTGCAAACAAAGTAAAGGATTCTGTTTGGCTCACAGGCCCAGAATAAATCACAAGGGAACCTGGGACACCTTTAGGACTGAATGAGAGTGAGCATTCGGCTCTAGCAGGACCTGCGGGGTGCGGCGAAGGCTGTGATCAAAGCCAAATTTGTAACCTTAAGATGCATCTAAGCATCCCGAAAGAATTAATGACATCATATTACAGTGATCCAGGCACATCCACATTTACTGGAAGCAGCCTGTGTCCATCAGCAGATGAATGGATAAAGAAAATATGGCATTTCCACACCGTGGAGCACTATGCTGCCATAAAGAAGGATACACGTGAGACATTCATAGGAAAACAGATGCACCTTGAGACTATAATGTTAAGTGCAATACATCAGACACACAAGCTCCAATAGTGCATGGTTTTTCTCATATTAGATACCCAAGGTATAGGGGCTGGGGATTTGGCTCAGCGGCACAGCGCCTGCCTGGCAAGCACAAGGTCATGAGTTCAATTCCTGGTACCAGGGAGAACAAAAAAAAAAAGAAACCCAAGGTATAAATAAAGAATAAACTACAAAGTAAACAATAGGAAGTAGGGAGACGGAGCTTTGTTAAGCGGGACAGGGGTTCAAGAGATGAAGGGAGGGGGAGGGGAGGGAAAGGGGTGAAAGGAATAAAGCTGTGTTGGGTGCGCACAGACCCCACACCAGCCCTGGACTGCATGCTGGGAGCACACACTGAGGAGACCTGTGAAATGGGAAGCGGTGATGTCAGTAGCCAGACAAGAATTCAGAAACAGAACCGCGAATTAGGCCTAAAGGAAGCAGAAGGGAAGGGACAGGAAGCTGGATGCTAAAGGTATAGGGAGGAAGACAGGAGAGGCAGACCTGGCGGCACTACAACCGTGGAACGTTTGTTTCTTTGTTTTTTGGTTTTGTTTTGTTTTTTGAGACAGGGTCTCACTATGTAGCCCAGGCTGGCCTTGAATTGGCAGCAACTCTCCTGCCTCAGCCCCCAGAGTGCTGGGATGACAGACGTGTGCCACCACACCTGGCATAACAGTGTAACATGTGGGAAGTCTAAAGGGTGTGCGGATGTTGTTGGCTCTGTTTTCACAAGTTTTCTTTGTGTCCTAACTAAGAAATTAAAGGGGAAAAGGAAGAATGCAGAAATCACTGCATTTGTTCCCCTCTGTGGTGACTTTGTCACATGCACAGGCCCCAGAGTCGTCGGTGACGGCTGGTTTCTCCTGGGGCGGCTGCGTCTACAGCCGCCAGCTTGGTAACGCGGTGGAGGATTCAGCCTGTGACAGCTCAGAGAGAAAGAATCCCGAGCGCCTGCGGACAGCCAGGCCTGCAGCCCTTCCCCAGGGGGTGCAGCCACACGGTCCAGGCAACCCTCGCCCCCTGCTCGGGTTAATGACAAGGGTGTGCCTTCCAGATCTGCCCTGTAATTACAACCTGGGCCGCTTCTCGGAAGGGAAGTCACCTGGGAAAGGAACGGGGCAGTTTCGAAATTAGGAAGTCTGCCGCCCCGCAGTTTCAGGACTAAAGGTCGACTGAGCACCACAGACCTAACCCAGGGGCAGATGAGGCCCAGAGGTGGAGACGCCCCCCGCCCCGACTGCTGCTCCCTGAACACCTGCCCCAAGCGCGCCCCACTCTCGGCCAGCGTTGCCTTGGCGCTGAACCTCGAGGGCTCGCTGCCGCTCTTGGTCGTTGACACCAAGGACCAGCTCAGGGGGCACAGGAGACCCCAGCAGTCACAGCCCTGAGCCTCTGGGGACCTACGGGACCCAGCCAAGCACAGCCCCCCGCGGACCCCACCAAGCGCCTGACATCTCATTCCTCACGTCCTTCCTTTTCCTCAAGGACTTCGCCAGCTTAAAAACAAGAATAAACGATACAGGAAACCAGCAGCACCAGCAGCAGGCCTGAGAAGGGGATGTAGAAGGGATGAACCTCTAGCAAGACCAGCGGGAGAAGCCAGAGTTAACACCACATGAAAGTGAGGCTACCCAGGGGTGGTGCACGCCTGTAATCCCAGCACTCCGGAGACTGAGGCAGGAGGATCGCTGCAAGTTCGAGGACAGCCTGGACTACAAAGTGAGCTCAAGGCCAGCCTGAACTGCAAAGGGAGACCCTGTCTCAAAAAGCCCCCCAAAAAAGAAAGTGAGGCCATTGAGGCCCAGGCAACAGGCGGGGAGGACAAGGTTCCTCAGGTCCACCCAGTGGGAAGCTGATGAAGCTGAAGATGTACACAAGAGACAGGTGTCCAAGAAATGCAGCACATCAACCCTAAATAAGAGGAAATTGGATGCCTGGCAAGCACGAGGTCCTGAGTTCAATTCCCTGGTACCAAAAAAAAAAAAAAAAAGAAAAGAAAAGAAAATTGGAGCTGTGTGGGGTGGCACACATCTGTCAACCCAGCAGGGAGACTGAGGCAGGAGGATCTCTGTAAGTTAGCTAGATTGTGCCATATAGTAAGTTCAAGGCCAGCCTGGAATACATTTATAGCAAGACCCTGTCTAGAAGGAAAGAAGGAAAGGAAGAAAGGAAGGAAGAAAGGAAGGAAGGAAGGAAGGAAGGAAGGAAGGAAGGAGGAAAGAAAGGCTCCTGTCTTGTGGAGGAATTGAATTTATAATCCTGAACCTCACTTAGGAGAAACTTCTGGGCACAGACAGCTTCACGGGTAAATTCTCCTAATTCAGTGGGGAAAGGACCCCGGTTGCCAAATTTCTTCCAGAGACCAGGAAAAAGAAAAGGGGGAGTGCCTGCCAGATTTTTACAAAAGGAGACCAGAGTGGCTTTGACACCAAGACCTGACCTCAGAATTATCAAACAGGTGAGCCATGAGCCAGGCTGTCACAGACACGCTGTTTGCAGAAAGGCTGGCGGCACAGCGAGTGGACTGAGTGTAGGGGCCGTTGTTCCCTTGCTCAGAATGCCTCCTCCACCGTGGGGCTCCGGCCCAAAAGCTATGCGAGGCTGAGGACTTTTTTGGTTGTTTTTAGAGACAGGGTCTCACCGGCCTCTAACTCACAGCGACCCTCCTGCCTCAGCCTCCCGAGTGCTGGGATGACAGGTGGGTGTGAGGCTGGAGGTTTAAATCCTGGTGAGTTTGGTGCCAGCTGAAGCTGCCACCATGGGTAGGAGGAGGGACAGCAAGGGTGCTCGTAGGGTTGTCTGTGCCATGGAGCCATCTCCGGGGGCCACCAGCAGCTGTGGGCAGCGCCTGTGAGCGCAGGGCAGTACCTTCTCGTGGATGACCGAGATGTACCAGGGCAGCCTCTGGCTGGGGACTGTGGAGCTGGACACAGGGCTCAGGGTCTGGGCCGAGCTCCTCCTCCTCAAGCTGAGCTCGCAGGCGCTCTTGCTGCCCAGGACTTGTCCTATTGGAGACACAGAAGCTGTCGGGCTCGGCAGCTTCTTCTGCGACACCCGGCCCCCGGCCAGCCCCTCTCAGAGGCCTCGTCTGCCCAGGCTTCTCCCGTCTCCGGCACCAAAGTCAGCGCTGTCTGGAGGAGCATCCTCGGAGGAGACAGCTCACAGCCAGCACACCTGGCCCAGGGCTGTGCCCAGGAAGGGACCGAGTGGTGACAGCTGGAGCCAGGCGCTCCAGGCAAGAGGGCCCCCGGGAGCTGCCCTGGCGTCCTGCAGCCTGTCCCTCCTCCACCCCTGGCGCCCCATCTTTGGATGAAGGATGAGGGAGGCTCACCCCCCACCTCCCCAAGCCCCAGGCAGGAGCACAGTCCCCACCGGCTCTGGGCAGCCTCAGCTGAAGGCAAGGAGGGACAGATCTGAGTGTGGACGTCCCGGTTGGCAAAGCAAGCCCGTTCACCAGCAGAGGCGTGATTCACGGGTCTCCCCGCTCAAGGAGATGCCATCGTGGGCATCTGGATAAAGGACCAAGGGCCGGCTGAGGGACACAGTCCTCAGCTGTCGTGCTGACACAGGCAGGAGCCTCTGTCCCAGGAATCCAAGTGGCCCTCTGGGGGGAAGTGGCCGGGCCTCCTCACCGTCCACGCTCCGGTCCGAGTCCTGCCGGCCCAGGAGCCAGTCCTCGACACCCAGCCTGGGCAGATCAATGGAGGACGCCGTATCTGCGGGGTGAGAGCGCCGAGGGGTGACCAAGGTGTCCCCTCCCCAAGCCCTTCGGAGATGGCCCTGTGATGTCACCCAGCTGCAAACACCGGCGGGCGGGTGCAGGGACGTGTCCGGGACACGTGGACTGAACAGTGGCCGAAATCCGAGTGCGGGCTCCATCCCCTGCCACGCCACTGAGTCCTGGGAACACACAGACCCCCCCACACCACACAGCCCCCACTCCAAGACCTCCGGAAGCTTGCACAGCCCCTCCTAGGGGAGGGGACAGCCCAAGCCCCCCGGGCAGGACCCTCAGGTCACCAGCATGAGGACAGCACTGTGCACGGGGACGTGGCTCTGACGCTGTCCCGGGGACCCCAAGCTCTCAGCTGCTCCTCTGAGCTCCAAGTTCTGTGTCAGCACACAGGCGCTCAGGTGAGAGGCCGCGGGGCTCCCGGTGGCTGTGAGCTACCAGGCCAGCCTTGGCCTTTCCCTCCCCGCTCCTCCAGCCAGCTGAGTCCACGGGCCCATGGGACCCTTGGAAAAGGAGAAGGCTGGGAGACAGCTGGGCTGGTGGCACACGCCTGTAATTTCAGCACTCTGGGAGGCTGAGGCAGGAGAACCCCAAGTTCAGTACCAGCCTGGGCAACTTAGCGAGACCTCATCTCAAAATTTAAAATAATAAATAAATAAACAAGTGGCTGCAGCTCGGGGCAAGGAGTTCAGTCCCTGGGACTGGGAAGAAGGACAGAGGGAGGAGGAGGAAGGGGGGGAGGGGGAGGGCAGCCGAGGCTGGAGACCAGCAGACTGGGAGGCGCTGTCTTCTTCCAGCCCTGCTGTGCCCGCTGGGTTTTGGAAGTGCAGCAGGCGGAGGTGTGGGGGCGGCGTCACAGCGACGCTGGCGGTGGCTCTTACCCAGGTGGGACACAGAGGTGGCCTTGGTGCAGAACTGAGGGCAGCCAGGCCGCGCGAAGAACGCCCTCCTCATCTCCTCCGTCTCCGCCTCAAAGCCCCTGAGGCTGGGGACAGCCGGGGACGCGTTCTGGAGAGCGGGAACAGGGGGCGGTGACCGACAGCTGAGACCCAGGAGCCCTCCCTGCAGGCCCGGACGCCCCAGCTCTGGCCCCAGGCCGCTCGGCCGAGGCCCCAGCATGGCGGGGAAGTCACCCTTCACCCTGAAGAAGTCTGGGGGCAGACAGGGCCTCTGGCCTCGGGGCTGGAGGCCAGCGAGAGCAAGTGGGAGCTGAGGTGTGCCTCAGGCAGGGGCAGTCCCTCCAGGATAAGCCGAGGCCTGCAGGAGTGTCCCCAGGAGCAGCTGCAGGCCTAGAGGCCTGGCCCCCTCGTCACACTGGAGGCGGGAGGAGGCCCTACCATCTTCCGGTAGCTGTTGGCCAGGGCGGACTTCCTGAGGCCGTGGCAAGCCTGGCGCAGCCTCTGTTCTGAGCTCCGGATATCCCTGCAAGCCACATTGTGCAGGGTGCACAGGCCCTGGGCGATTGGGTTCAGGGTCGTGCTGTGCCTCTCTGACCCGCTGGTCCGCTTCAGGAACATCGGGAAGGTGAGACCAAAGGACAGGGTGTGTTCCCCAGGGACAGCCTGGGGCCTCCACCTTGGACTCCAGGCCGGAGACCACCAGCTTCCACACTCCTGCGGGGGAGCTGGGGGCAGCGTGTGGCATCACAGATGTCTCCATAGAGACAGGGCCTGTCACCCCTCCCGAGCTTTCCACAACTAGGACAAGCAGCGGGGCAGGGAGGCTGTCCTCCTGGATCTCAGGAGGTCACCACACAGGCATGGCTCCAGGCCAGCAAGCTGTCAGCCTCTCTTCCAGGTTCACTGATTTTTCTTTTTAAAATCTTCATCCCCAGTTTTCCACCTTATTTAAAATCTGACACTGCCTGCAGTGACTTTGTTAGGAAACCATGAATATCCTTAGCCAATTTAAAAGTGTTTCTTAATTAACACCTGATTTTTGGGAGTGTGCTAGGTATCTAAGCCAGGACTCATGCATGCTAAAGGAGTGCTCTACCACTGAGCCACACACCCCAGCCCTGTGGTTCTGTTTTAAGAAATGGAGTTGGGGGCTGGCTGTTGTAGTGTGTGCCTGTAATCCCAGCTACTCAGGAGGCTGAGACAGGAGGGTTGCAAGTTTCAGCCCAGTCTGGGCAGGTTAACAAGACCCTGTTTCGGGGCTGGGGATTTAGCTCAGTGGCAAAAGCGCCTGCCTGGCAAGCACAAGGTCGTGAGTTCGGTTCCCGGTACCGGAGAAAAAACCAAAAAAAAAAAGAAAAAAAGACCCTGTTTCAAAATAAAATTCACAAGAGTGCTGGGGATGTAACTAGCACATAGAAGCTCATAGTACCACACCCAAGGCCCCGAGTTCAATCCCTACTGTAACATAAATAACCAGCGGAGACCACCAGGCTCGTGTAAAGGCAATGTAGGGTGGAATTCACTGTGCCTGGGTTCAGGCTGAGAGTGTGAGAGGACCTTCTGCCCTGAACAGAGAAGTGCGTCCCTTTTATAGGGTGGAGAGGGGGCAGGGGACACTAGGCAGAAAGATCTCAGTGAACATCTGTGGTTATAATTTTCCAGCATTCTTGCATCTCAGTGGGCAGAGTCCTTCCAAGTGTCCGCTGTAAATTTTTGTGAGCTCTTTATATATTCTAGATATTAGTCCCGTGTCTCAGCTGGTAACACTTTTCCCCCATAATGTAGGTTGTCTCCTCACTGTTGCTTGCTCCCTTTGCTGGGGGGAAGCTCTTTAATTTGCTATGATCCCATTTGTTGATTCTTCATGTAATTTCTTCTGCAGCTGGAGCTCTGTTCATAAAATCCTTGCCTACCTTCGCTCTTCAAGAGCTGTGCCTATTTTATCTTCCACCAGATTTAGCATTTAAGATCTTTGATCCATTTTGATTTTAGTTTAGCGCGTGCTGAGAGACATGAGTCTAGACTCGATCTTTGGCGTGTGACTATCCCATCTTCCCAGCACCCATAATTAAAGAGACTGTCTTTCCTCCCCTGCGCATTTTTGGCTTCTTTGTCAAAGATCGAATAACTGAATGTGTCCGGGACTGTGTCCACCTCTCCCATTGGTTCACGTGCCAGTTTCCGTGCCAGGTCCGTGCTGTTTTCATCACTGTAGCTTTGTGGTATAACTTGAAGTCTGGGATTGCTTTTGCTGTTCTGGGTCCATATGACTCTTAGGGTCGTTTGCTCTGTGAGGAGGGCGTTGGAGTTTTGATGGGGATCCACCTGGTCTCTGTGACAGTTTTGGTCGTCGGGCCATTTCGACTCCATCAGTTCTGCCTATCCGGGAAGGAGATGTCTTCCCATCTTCTGATCTCTCGCTCTTTTCTCAGTAGTTTTCGCTGCAGAGGTCTGTCGCTTCCTCAGCCTCCCCCATCCCCGGCGCCCCCCATTCTACTGCCCGTCTCTGAATCTGATGACTCTAGATGCCGCGGGGTTGGCCCACCTCCCAGGGCTGCCGTCCTGTCCATCCACGTGTGGCTCTGGCTTAAGGCGGAGTCACAGCCCATCACGTGGATGGCCCCACTGTTTATGCAGTGTCTGCGGCGGTCACTTCAGTGCCGCTGCCCTCTGTCCCTGTGAATTTGTCAAGGGCTGCTGTGAGCGTGGCGTGCGGGTCTCTGAGACTCCATTTGACCTTGGTGTGGGGTGTGGGGGCGCTGCGGCAGTCCTTGTCCAGGAGACTGGGGATAGAGGACAGAGCTCCGGGCAGGGTGTCCTCAAAGGTGCCCCTGCCTGGGGCAGGAAGGGAGTGCAGGAGGCTGCCCTGGAGAGTTGGCTGGGAAGCCGCACATCTGCCCTCAGCACGCGAGGCACAGCGCTCTGTGGCAGCCTGGGGCTGGGACCCTGGGGTGGCCCTGCACTGACATCGGTCTCTTCTGTCCCTCTGCCACACGCCTGCTCCTTCTCCAGGACAACGTGGCCTTGCCCTGGAGCGGCCAGTCCTCCAGCGAGCTCACCCAGGTCCTCCCACATGTCCACATCCTACATGGTCCCGGCTCCTCTGGGTCCTTTGCCCTTCGACAGGAGCAGCAGGGTCTCCTCTCTGGTGTCCCCAGCAAGCGTCCTGCCGGGGTGTGGAGCAGCATCGTCCTTTTTTTTTTTTTTTTGGTGGTACCAGGAATTGAACTCATGACCTCGCGCTTGCTAGGCAGGCGCTTGAGCCACTGAGCTATATCCCGGGCCCCTAAAGGTTTGGTAATTTCTTTCTTTCCTTTTTTTGGTACTGGGAATCAAATTCATGACCTTGTGTTTGCTAGTCAGGAGCTTAAGGGTTTTTTTTTTTTTTTTTTTTTGATACTGGGAATTGAACTCATTACCTCAGGCTTGCCAGGCAAGCACTTATACCGCTGAGCTATATCCCCAGCGAAGCAGCATCTTCCTGGGGGACCCGGTCGCACCGGCTCCCCTCCCCCTCGCCTGTGCTCTGCAGCGTCGGAGATTGCTCGAGCTGGTTCCGAGCTTTTCGGAGATGGCTCACCTCGGTGCTCGGTTGTTCCCTGCGGCTGTTCAGAAACGATGATTTTGTACACTGACTTTGTGCTCTGTGAGCTCGCCGGTCTCACTCACTGTGCCGGCTTTGTTTCAGATGTGCCTGATTTTCCATGTGGGTGGCTGTGCTGTCTGCAAAAGGCCACAGCTCGCTTTCCCTTTCATGCTCTTTCTTTCCAGCCTCTGACATCCTGGTCCTCCGTCCCGTGAGTGCGCAGCCCGCCCGGACGGAGCCTGGGGCAGGGTGATGCGTCGGTGGTCAGTGGTGCTGAAAGGGAGTCTGTTGCTGATGCCGGGCCTTTCTCCCTTTCCTCCCTCTCCCGCCTTCCCCTCTCCTGCTCCTTCCTCTCCCGCCCTCCCCTCTCCTGCTCCTCCCTCTCCCGCCTTCCCCTCTCCTGCTCCTCCCTCTCCCGCCCTCCCCTCTCCTGCTCCTCCCTCT